AATAATAATAATAATAATAATAATAATAATAATAATAATAATAATAAAGGTCAAAGTAGTTCAGAGAAAAGTTCCTTTCCTGGATGAATCTAATTGTTTTGTTATCTTTACCCACCAAAGCATTTACTTTGGTTTGTCGCCCGATCCACAAACACTTTCGAGGAGATGACATTACCGAATGGCAGGAACATCTGCATCAGCTCTGCGTCCCCAAACTCCTGGGGCAGATGGTAGATAAACAGGTTGCAGCCCTCTGGTCCTAGGGGGAAGGTGGAGGAGGACAGAGAAAGAGGGAGGGAGAGAGGGAGGGAGAGAGAGAAAGAGAGAGAGAGAGAGAGGGAGGTAAGACGTCAGAAAGTGAGGATGTCTCAGTTGGGACAAAATATGGGTTCTACCCAGGGGTGGGCTGCTGGGGGCTCGCAGGGGCTCAGGAGAGCTCCTAGCTAAGACTCTGTGGGGCTTGGAGAGCCCCCAATAATCTCAGCGAGGGAAAGCTCTTAATAGGCTTAACTGAACTTCTGGGCATTCAGCCAAGAGCACTTCACTCCTGGTAAAAGTGTGGCAAGCTAGATAAACAATCCACTCAGCACTTGCAAGAGAGAGCCATTGAGAAAAATCAGATTACATAGCCTCCGAGGGGATTAATTCCAAAATAATACGGTAAGAATCACGTCACTCACCAGAAACTCCACTAAGACTCCAAGATCCCTCTCACAGTCACTGCTATTAAGCCTGGTTTCACCCAGTCTTTTATTTAAGTAATTAAATGCATGAAGTAATAAACAACTTTTGGGTATATATCTTTTTTCAGGTAATTAGGGCAAAGAAGCAACGTCGAGCTGGCCACACCCACCCATTCACATGACCACCTAGCCACGCCCACCCAGCCACACCCACCCAGCCAGTCATTAGGACAGAGAGCCCCTTGCTAAAAAATTTGAAGCCCACCCTTGGTTCTACCACAACTCACTCATTGTCTTCTATAACCCAAAGTATCTGAGAAATGAAAATACGAATCATTGTGAGGCATAAAATAAAGAGGTAAACTTTCTTCTTGGTCATGTTGTTAAGATGGTCTGAAGGAGATCAGATCAGCTTTGACGCCTAACAGAAGCCAGTGGTTAAAAAACCATGTTGGGAAGGCATAAATATGCATAAAACGATACTTCTCACTTTTTAACCCATGAGAAGGAAACTGGTTAGAAACCTCAGAATTATTGGGTTTCTTTTCTCTCTGTGGAGGGACACAATAGAAACCTTTAGTAGCTATATTTCCCTCCTGTGAAGAAGCAGAAGAAGGAGAAGTGGAGGAGGAGGAGGAGGAGGAGGAAACAGAAAGAAACAGAAGGAAAAAGGAAAAAGAAAAGAAGGAAAAAGAAAAGGAAGAAGGAAGAAGGAAGAGGGGGAGGAGGAGAAGAAGAAGGAAAAAGAAAAGAAGGAAAGGAAGAAAAAAGAAAAGGAAGGAGGAAGGAGGAGAAGAAAAAGAAGGAGGAGGAGAAAAAGGGAAAAGAAAAGGAAGAAGGAAAAAGAAGGAAGGAGGAGGAGGAGGAGGAAAAAGAAGGAAGAAGAGGAAGAGGAGAATTCTCTAATAATGGGATGAATCCTCTTTTTCAAGGATACCAGAAACAAAAAGCAGCATCTGCTCTCCAATGCCTTCTTAGAAAGATGTCATGTGGGAATAGTATAGTATATAAAGTTTCAGGAATTTCTACTTCCTGGTTCTTGAAATTTGAGAGGCAAGACACAGAGATATCTGCAGGACAGAGTTATAAATGTGAAGATGGACAACGAACAATCAGTAACGCTATGTACAGCCTTGGTAAGGCCACACTTGGAATCCTGCATCCAATTGTGGTCACCATGATATTAAAAAAGATGTTGAGACTCTAGAAAGAGTGCAAGAGAAGAGCAATAAAGATGATTAGGGGGCTGGAGGCTAAACCATATGAACAGATGCTGGAATTGTGGGTATGTCTGCCCAATTTGATGATAAGAAGGGCAGCAGTCTTCCAATATTTGAGGCGCTGTCACCGAGAAGAAGGAGTTCAACCTCTTCTCCAAAGCACCTGAAGGCAGGACAAGAAGCAACGGATGGAAATTAATCAAGGAGAGAAAGCAACCGAAAACTAAGGAGAAAGTTTAAGAGTGAGGACAATTAACTAGTGGAACTTCTTGCCTCCAGAAGTTGTGGCTGCTCCATCACTGGAGGTTTCCAAGAAGAGACTGGACAACCATTTTTTCTGGAATGATATAAGGTTTCCTGCTTGTGCAGGAACCTTCCAGCTCTGTTTCCTTTCCAGCTCTGTTATTATGTATTTTGATGTGGGTAATTAAGAGATGGGGCTTTGATGGGATGGATGCCATCTTTTGGTTCTCTCTCTCTCTCTCTCTCTCTCTCTCTCTCTTTCACACACACACACACACACCCCTCCAGTGGGGAGAAGAAGGAACAAGAACGTTGGCCTATCTAGACGAGTCTGTTTTTTAATGCTTTTGCTTTTCACGGGGGCATAATTATAATGTCACAACACTGCAAATTACAACTTTGCCTTTCCTGTTAGAGTGAGGAATTCACAAAGGGGCTCTCCCCCCCCCCACTTTTTATGGGCCGTTACTCAATCCTTGGCTGGCAGGTCAGTTCCGCCAAGTCAGGATTCTGACAGATGCCCATTTAAAGCTCATTAAAATTCCCTGGTCTCTGTTGTGATTGAAAGTCCTGTTCTCTCGCTGCATTTTCGTTTCGGATTAATAGAAAAGGGGAGCCTTGATGAAGACTTGCCGGATGCAAATTTTTTTCCAGGGTGCTTGCAAAGCTGAGAGCATGTGTGGATGCCATGCCCTTGTTGGAGTCTGATTCTGAGGGGGAGATTGAGGAGCTGACAGGGAGTGTGGATCCGGTGGCTGTGGAAGAAACGGAGGAAGGGCACAGTCTGGCTGGGCATTCAGAGGAAGACCCAAGGCCACCCCTTCTTCATCCTAGGGCACACAAGGAGGAACAGAGAAAGGAGCAATGTGGCTTACGGGAGCGAAAAGGGCTCTGATCACTTTCATTAGTTGCAGCTGGGAGAACAGGATATAAGAAGGGTGTTTGCACACAGCACCTTGCTGGAAGCAAAGCGTGCATTATTTTTGTCAAGGATTATCTGGATGTTGGCGTCCTCCCAACTGTGTGTGCTTCGTTACCTTTTGGAAGTCTGCAATTTATTATCCTGCCCTGTTGTGTTAATTACTTCAGCGTGGTTTGTGTCGGTTTTTTAATTTCTCATTTATCTGTACTTTGGTTTCGGACTGTATTTCTTCCCTTTGTGGACTGTTTTTGGAAGAGTTTGATCTCCAGCCGAGGATAATTGGACATTTGGAGCCAAGTTGGAGCTATTAAAGGGAATTTATCTAATTTTGTGACTTTGTTATTTTTGTGCCACGCCCCTTTGGGTCATCACAGTGGATCTTCCAAGGTTCTGGTTGATTACATTCCAAGGTGCTCAGACCAGTGGTGGGATTCCACATTTTTTCCTACAGTGAGGAATAAGCAAATTATGTGGATGGACAATGAACCAAAAGAGCAGACATAGCATTAAGTTGCGAGTGTTATTTAAAAGAAAAAAATTAGACATAATCGGTAGTCCACAAAGTACTAGGGAAAACTTCTGCAGCCTTCAACCAGCAAGTTGTCACCTTCTGGTCTACATCTTTGCTGGATATGACTAAACCGATGTCAGTTGGAGAAATCGTAGGTAGAATTAACACAATACATGTGTGTCGTTCGGATTATAATAATGGGAGCATTATTCAGCACCAATTTATTTATTGAGCTGGGAACTTGGCTTTTGTGTTTCTCCTGTAATGCAATCTTTGTTGATTCTTCTGAATTATTCCCTTTCTCTTTGCATTCATCTTCTGCTTATAAAGAAATAATATCAGCGCGTTGGCAAAAGGAATAGTTGAAAATGAGTTCATTTCTTTAAAAAATGCTGTAAGTTCTGATGTAAAAAAAAAGTGCCAGAAAAGAAATATGCTAAGAAATTCTCTTTATACCAAGTTTTCTCATAGAGTTTGTATCCTTTCACAAACTTTAGGGGAATTGTGTAAGAATACTTTGGGGGTTTTTTTTTTTGGGGGGGGGGGGGGAATTAATGCCCAAAAGATGCTTGGTGCAAGAATTCAGTGTGTTTCTGTTTTCTCTTCTTCTCGGTGAATCCAAAATATTGTTCAGTGCTCGATGCATCCAGAAAAATCAATACTTTTCATACAAGGCTGTAAAACTCATCAACTGAACTATTTCAGAATTTGTGGTTTTCTCCATACACGTCCATTTACTCAAGTATTGATTACAATGGACAATAATAATAATAGAGGATGGGGGGGGGGGAATCCATCTACAGATGTTCCAGTGAGAAGAAAGTGGAAGCTCAAATGACAATAGGTGTCTCAGGTTTAAAAAGACCACAAGAACTTATTAACAAAAGCTGACTATATTCAGAATAACAAAGTTGGAAGGGACCTATTCCTCACCATACAAAAGTGATCAATGATACCTTTGGGTGGTTATTGTCTTCTGCAAGGCCAGCCCATTTGTTGAGTTCATCCTCAGGTTGAATATGCCCAATGAAATTTGAAGTAGAGAAAAGTAAAGTCTTACACTTAGGCAAGAAAAACCAAAAGTACACATATAGATTGGGTGAAACCAGGCTCAATAGCAGTAACTGGGAGAGGGATCTTGGAGTCTTGGTGGTCAACCAGTTAAATAGGAGCCAGCAGTGTGTGGCAGCAGCCAAAAAAGCCAATCCTAAGTTGTATTAACAGAGGAATACAATCAAGATCAAAGGAAATACTAATACCACTCTATAAAACCTTAGTAAGACCGCACCTAGAATACTGCATCCAGTTTTGGTCACCACACTATAAAAAAGTTGAGACTCTAGAAAGAGTGCAGAGAAGAGCAACCAGGGTGATTAGGGGACTGGAGGCTACAACATACGATGAATGGTTGCAGGAACTGGGCTTGGCTAGTCTAGTGAAGAGAAGGACCAGGGGAGACAGGAGAGCAGTCTTCCAATATTTGAGGGGCTGCCCCAGGGAGGAGGAAGGGGTCCAGCTATTTTCTAAAGCACCCGAAGGCCAGACAAGGAACAATGGACAGAAACTGATCAAGGAGAGATTCAACCTAGAAATAAGAAGAAATTTTCTGACAGTGAGAACCATCAACCAATGGAACAGAAGTTGCCTTCAGAAGTTGTGGGAGCTCCATCACTGGAGGCTTTCAAGAAGAGACTGGACTGCCATCTGTCAAAAATGGTGTAGGGTCCCCTTGGG